CAGCCTAATGCGAATTTAAGGTTGTTAGGGAGCTAAAAGGGGGAGGGGACCGGAGTGATTAATTTGTTTCGGTGTCCCCGGAGAATTGTCTTTTTTCTTTTTGGGTGGTTAGTATTAGTAGGTTGTAATTGATTCTTTTTTTTTTTTTGTTGCCGGGCATCGGACGAAATGACAATTGTTTTGCGGAACTGAGGATTTGAGAGATGCGAGGGTTTTAGTGTTCATGACGAGTGTAGGGATAAGTCGTCGAGGCTGAAAAGCCTTATATTCTCACGTTCTAACGGGTATTTTTTTTCGAGGTATAGAACTTTAAGTTGGCATTACTTTTGAATATGGCGACCGATTTGACAGCTGTCAAGTGATTTATTCTTAGTTTGGTTTGGCAATTCATCATGAATAGGCTCACGCCTGAACAACGCTTGCAAATTGTGCAGTTTTATTTCGAAAATAATGGCTCTGTGCGCACTACGTTCATTTTATCGTCGACAAAATCGTCTATCATAGCAGTTAATTCGATTAGCCATGGAACGTTTTCGCACCACGTTTACTTTAATTGATATCTCGCATCCCCAGAAACGCCGTACGGTGCGTACAGAAGAAGCTATTGCTACTGTAGAGCGTAGCATTGAGGAAGACCCGAATGAGTCCATCCGCCATCGAGCATAGGAATTGGATCTGTGTCCATCCACTTTATGGAAGATTTTGCGGAAGGATCTCGGTTTGCGTGCTTACAAAATCCAACTCGTGCAAGAATTGAAGCCAAACGATCATCAAGCAAGGCGCAGATTCGTTGAATGGGCCCAAAACGAGATTGCCTTTGTTCCCGATTTACATAAGCGATTTTTGTTTAGCGATAAAGCGCATTTCTGGTTGAATGGCTACGTCAACAAACTAAACTGCCGCATTTGGAGTAAAGCTAATCCTCAAGTCTATGTCGAAACACCGTTACATCCAGAAAAACTGACTGTTTGGTACGCTTTATGGGCTGGTGGAATCATTGGTCCGTGCTTCTTCAAAAGCAATCATGATGTCCAGGAGCTGTAGTTCCAACAAGACGGCGCAACATGTCACACAGCTGGTGCTAAAATCGATTTATTGAAAGTCACGTTTGGTGACCGCTTAATTTCACGTTTTGGAGCTGTGAATTGCCCTCCAAGATCTTGTGATTTAACACCACTGTGGGGCTATGTAAAGTCATTGGTCTATGCGGATCAGCCACAAACGCTTGACCATTTGGAAGACAACATTCGCCATGTTATTGCCGATATACGGCCACAAATTTTGGAAAAAGTCATCGAAAATTTGACGTCTAGACTGGACTACATCCGAGCCAGCCGTGGCAGTCATATGCCAGAAATCATATTTAAAATGTAATGCCACAAGGTTATCTATCGAATAAAAAAAAATTCATGTTAATCGAATAATCCATCGTTGTTTTATTGCAATTTAAAGTTCTATACCTCTAAAAAAACAACCCTTATATGCACCCAAATAGAAGGTAATGTACACATGTTTGATCAGAGGAGAGTTACCAACTCATCCATAACAGACCACCTCCAACCTGCTGTAATCTTTTGAATGCTTCACTATGCAAAATTTCCCCTTTTGTACCTCAAGCGAATGAAACTCGGTACATTCAAGCCATTTGACGCTCTAATTTCAGTTATGGTCACCAAAAAATCCGCATATCCGATTTATCTGAAACGGAGGCTACCAAAGGTCCGCTGATAATAATACCTTTATCCATCAGACCACACATAGCCAACTGTGTAGAGCTTTTTCTAGCTTTTTGGCAATTATCATCATACGTACAATATACAGGGTGACTTGAAGTTGAGTCATTTATTTCAACAGTGAGTAGATCTGATCAAAAGAAATGTTTTTTTCCTTTAACATTTTTCTGGTAAAATTAAAGTAACAAAGTTATAGCCCTTTAGAAGTTTGAGTACCGCCCTGTCTCATTAATAATATTATGTGCTCGTGTTTGGCAACAACGGATATAATCCGCGTTATCGGTTCATCGCATCGGAAACAAAAAGCGAATGAATTTGAAACGTTTATCACGATGTTTTTCGTCAGTCGGTAACGCGTGAGTGAATACTGGTGTTTGTTGCGTGGCTCAAACGAAATAAAAAATAGCACATGTTTACGAAAATGCTGAACTTGTGGACATGATTCTTATTTACTAAATGCTGCCGCGGCATCACGGATTTGTGCGAATCGGTTTCCCAATCGAGTGCAACCAACCCCTCGTGCCTTTGTTAATGTAGTACAAAGGGCTCGTGAATCAGGAGACTTAAGACCTTACAGGGGAGGGCCTGCCGGTGCTCCAAGACCGCACGATCAAATACAGGTCCGCACTGAAATACTTGTCGGGAGGATACTTTATAAAACAAGGTAACATTTTTTTTAATGTTTTTTTATTTTTACACACATATTTTGGTTTATCTTCCTTCTACAATCATTATCTGAAAATTAATGACTCAACTTCAAAGTCACCCTGTATATATGTACAAGTACAACCGAGCAAGAAGGAACCTACTATTGGTTCCCTCGTCTATTTTTGTCCTCCTGTACCTTGCTCCGCCTCACTTTGAATATCAACCCTTTTGCCCTCGCTTATATGCGTGACAAAATTCTCAGCAGTGAGCCTTTCGCCGAGAGACAATTCCAGCTGTCTCTGATAGTCAACCCATCTACCACATTTGAGTAGATGATTAGGAGTATCCTCCTCTTCGTTGCAATATACGCAGTTTGCGTACCCTCTCCTTCCTACCCTCTTCAGTTAGTTGCAAGGAACTATGCAGAACAGAAATCTATGCGCTACCATGCCAATCCAAGTTTTAATATCTGCGATCAACCTTCTAGTCACTGAACCAGTTGCATTCCATCTCTAGTGCCAATTGACAAAAAAGACCTCTGCTCTCAGGCAGCAACTCAATTGGCGGGGTACCAGCCACCACGAGCGGTCGACACCGTTCTGTAAGCGCATACCACGCGCAACACTACTTTTCGCTGACTTCAGACCACAATAATAATAATTAATGTTTTTTATTAATACGCAAAAATGAGGCGTAATTATCCAAAAGGCTGCTCCAACACTTAACCTCACTGTGTGAGAGAAACTAACAAGGATAAACTAGATATACAAAAAGTAATAATAATAAAACGAAGTAAATAGACAAAGTGGAAAGTCAAAGTGTTTATAATACTCACATACGAAAGCAAAAGCCAGCAAAGAAAAGTAATATACAGGGTGTTCATTTGAAAATTTCCCACCATGAATTTATCGAAAACCACTGATTAAAAGAAAAAACTGAAATACGTCAAAAGATTTGTCAAGAGGGACAACTTTTTAACCAAAAACTACTTTACGCCCTTTCACCCTCTGCCCCCAGGGTCATTACCTTGAAAAAATTCATCTATAAGGAGTATCGAGTGATAACTTATTTGAAAGGTCTTTCAAAGTCCTTTTTTTGACGTTTGATTTTTTAAGATCGGTCGTTTCGTTTTCAAGAAAGTTAGAAAAATCTCTATTCATCTTTGTTCAGACAGAAAATAAAAACACACTAAAATATCACTTTTTATTTCAATAAGTGCTCAAAATGTTGCTATTTATTGGCCAAACAGGCAATGTTCAAATTCCTGACGGACATTTTCAAATACATGTGGTGGGATATCATGGCAGCTTTCGATGATGCGTTGACGAAGTTCATCCAAGCTTTCAGATTGGGGATTAAACACAATAGATTTCAAATGTCCTCATATAAAAAAGTCTAATGGCGTCAAATCAAGAGATTCTTACTATTCATTATTGACAGGCTCTCTTCGTCCTATCCATTTATATGGAAACTCGTCGTCTAGTCATTGCCGAACCGGAAGAACATAGTGAGGAGGAGCGCCGTCTTGTTGGAAATATATTTCAGTGTTTTCCAACATATTCAAATAAATGTCTTCAAATATCTATTAATAAACAATGGCCCAATCACTTTCTTTCCTAAAATGCCTGCCCATACATTAATTTTGTGGGGGTACTGGATATGCCCTTGTACAAAAGCATGAGGATTTTCATTACTCCAGTACCTACAGTTATATGTTTATTAACAAATCCATTTTGATAAAATGTAAATTCATCACTGAAGCAGATATTCTTTACATGAATGGTACTACCATTAATCGCTGCGGTCTTTTGTTTACAAAACTGTACTCACCTATCGAGATCATCTTCGGTTAACACTTGCAATATTTTCATTTTGAATGTATGAAATTTATGGAGTTTAGTAACTGTGTGTACAGAGCCTAATGAAATACCTGTCACAGCAACAATTTTGCGTAATGAAGTACATATTAGGATTTATTCCAAAATGACCCAAAACTTCAACTTCAGCGGCTTCATCCAAAACTCTCCGATGATCACGTTTTTTATTTGAAAACAGATCCAGTTTGAGTAAATTTAGTAACAAGATTCAAAGCATACCTATTTCGAAGTTATATTTCCCGGATGTCTGGCGTTAAACGTGATGGCAGTTTGCCGAGAACATTGATTTTGGGCACCATAAATTAGAATCATTTCCACTATTTCGGCTAGTGTGTAAACCTTTTTGGAAATCTGGATCAATAAATTAATTTTCACTATCCCAAGATTGTCACAAAGATAACTGACAGCAAATTCTTTCTTTCCCTTAGCAACAAATAACTAAACAGGCATATCAATAAATAAACTTTGCCCAGGATATCTTCTGCGTTGATGAAAATAATGCGGAAAAAATTCGGGTTGTTATTTGGTTGTTGCCACGTCTAATCTTCCAAATTGCTGTTCATCTTGGCAGTTTCCGTTTTAAATTATAAACCATTTGTAGATTTGACAGACCCTAACGGACAATATTTTGAACACTTACGGTGGTTTGCACCGGTTCGGGTTAAAGTGAAGGTTAGCGCTAACTTCGAGTCTTTGCACCGTCATAGTTATCTCGGAGTTAGGGCCTAACTCTGGGATAAATTTACCTCTCACTTGAACTAGGTATTAAGGCGGATAGCACCATGAAAATGTAGAATAATGCCTGCGCATCGCAATGCGTACTGACAATAAAAAAGAGGTTCTTCAGTTAATGTGCAATGATGTGCAACTCCATCAATTCAATGCTCCCAATCGCCTAGTATACTTGATTTGTTTTTAAAAATATGGCACCATTCTATGTGCAAGGATTCAAACAAAACACAATTCTTTTTAGAAATCATATAATAATCATCTTCAATTCCAAATTCTGAAAATGCCCACTGATGATTAAAGTTCTCGTTGTGGATGCTGAAAGTGATGAAACATCTATGTTGATGTTTGTTATTTCATGTCTTTCCAGAAGTTTGTTGACTGTATGGGGATCCAACTCATCTGGTAAAGGTGGCACATTCTCATCTCCATTAGCAATAACTATATTATGTAGCACTGCCGTAGCCACAATTATGTTCCAAAAAGTGCAAACCACCGTGAAAACTGTACATACAAATGCAGAGGTACTTCCAACTTGTCTCTAATCTCTTCAAGCACAGTGAGGACAGTATGCTTTGGTACCCGGAACCGTTTTCTGAACTTGGAGCGTTCCATCGCCCGGAAATATTCTTGTCGTTCGTAAATTCGTCTAGGTATGCTAAACTCCAATAATTCCAGAGGAATAAGGTCATCCTCGTCGAATTCTTCATAATTTATGGTTACGTCCATAATTACCAGGGTGCTTTGTGGACAATGCTGTCGACTGTATGATGCGACGTCGATCCACAGCGAAAAATATTTTCAAAATCCCAACTTCCAAACAGAATCACAAATACATATATATATATATATATATATATATATATATATAACTTGAGACGTGGATATTGTCGTCTAGACCAGTTAGGTGAAAAATTAAAGCTTCCGCCTTTTGTTGGGAACTTCGACAAAAATTTTAAGCAAAGAGGACTCTTTATACTTTTTTTATTCCCTCTAGCTTTCAATGGACTTTGCCATCATCATCAGGAGAGTACTGTGTGAGGATGTTGCTAATTGTTGTTTACGTTCAGGATGAGGGAAACACCCAGTAACATGGTGAAAGCTGGATAAATGGTACAATGGTCAATATTATATAAAATACACACAACTGTGTGACAAGAACAAGTTAAAAACGGATTAAAATTTTTTAGAACATGAAAGTGAAGTGGCTTCACGATGTAATGTAACTATAATCAATACAATGGCGTATTTTATGTTATTATAATGGGTTGTCCAATAGGGACGCAGGAAAGTAAACGTCAATTTGACATAGACGCCATCTTTGTTTTCTGTCACCGACATGTCATTTTGTAAATTGAATGTTTACCATTGATCGCTATGGAGTCGTATTCGATTGAAGACCGCATTAAAGTTATTCAAGAGCACTACAAAAACACGTTTCGCGCGCTTCGTGAACATTTCGGTCGCAACAACGGCCCAAACGAAACAACCATCGGTCGTCTGGTGCGTAAACTCGAGGCAACAGGTTCTGTGGCAAATCTGCCAGGCTCTGGCCGGCCAAGGAGCGTTCGAACACCGGAAAATATTGCTGTTGTGAAGGAGAGTGTGGGAGACGATCCGAAACAATCAACAACGCGTCGATCCCAAGAATTGAGCATTTCGAGAACCAGTTTGCTCCGCATTCTCCACAAGGATTTGAATGTACACGCCTACAAGATCCAATTGACGCAAGAGCTGCGTCGGGCCGACCATTTTTCGCGCCGAACGTTCTCAGATTGGCTCCGTGAACACCGCCAAATTGATGCCAATTTTTCATCAAAAATCATGTTCAGCGACGAAGCGCATTTCACTTTGAATGGGACGGTAAACAAGCAAAACTGCCGCATCTGGGCGAACGAAAATCCCCGTGAGTATCAAGAGCAGCCGATGCATCCGCAAAAAGTAACTGTGTGGTGTGCATTGTGGTCAAAAGGCATCATCGGACCTTATTTTTTCGAAAATGCGGCCGGGGACGCCGTTACCGTCAATTCTGAGCGATATCTCGTGATGATAGAGGACTATTTTTTGCCGCAACTTGAAGGAATGGATATGGACGATGTTTATTTCCAACAAGACGGTGCAACATGCCACACAACCAACGTCAATATCCATCGATTGCAGTCCTTCTTCGGTGATCGCGTGATTTCGCGCAGAGGAAATGTGCCATGGCCACCAAGATCGTGCGATTTGACTCCCTTGGACTTCTTTTTATGGGGATATTTGAAAAGCGTCAACAAACCAGCCACCCTCCAAGAACTCAAAAACAACATCATTGCCGAGATAAATGCCATAGAACCGACCATGTTGCAAAATATCATTGAAAATTTCGACCATCGCGTGGACGTCTGTAAATCCAGTCGTGGTGAACATTTGAGCGATACTATTTTTCGTACATAAATGGTATAAATGAACCTTCAAAATAAAGTACCCAACTTGATTTGAATATCAATCTTTCTTGTTTTAATATGCGTTTACTTTCCTGCGTCCGTTTTGGACAACCCCATACATGTTAAAAAAAGCTATTTTCAGGATTGATCCTGAGACAGTGCTTTTTGCAAAAATCTGTAATATTAATTACGTCAGTGATAGTTTTAAATAACACTTCATTTAACTGAGAAAATTTAAAGTGATTGCAGCATCAGCTGTCTATCTTCCTTTTCCCTCACGGCCCCCTCTGTCAAAATTCTAGGCCTTCAACCAGTGAGGTCGCCGTCAGATGACATGATCCGTGTAATTCGCAACGACTTTATTTACATTGTCAGAACATAATATTAGATACACCTAATGAAGTGGATTTTGTCAGTAAAATAACAACAGTAAAAAAAGGCTTACAAACATCCTGAGATGCCAGTAGTTGTAGCACTGTAAATACTGATTACGTTTTCAAGAGACCATCGTAAAACTTTGCCTAAGCCTCCGTACAACCACACAAACAATCTCCGTCTGCGGATGAAATCACCTGGAGAGCGAGGCAGAGTTAAAAGAGTGGATATCCCTAGGGATCGCGACAAAACTGCGAAACTTTTTTAAAAGCTTATTATCGGATATTCCCTCTGGACGTACCGTACCGGCCATGAAACGGTGGCTGTTCTTAACACTTTTTAAAACTGTATTATGTTCTCTCCCCCACCTCTCGCTTCTATCCATGGGCGCCGCCAAAAAAAAAATCATCTGCCAGTGCTTCATTCGGTTTTCCGATTACTTGGGCGAGAACGTTTTAGTCTTAGGCCGTTCTGGAAAGCTCTTCTGCTCGTTGCATCTCCATCAATCTACAGTTATTCAGTTATGAGACATATCTCCTCCCAACACAGCGATTACCCTCAATTGTCGCTAAATCAAGCCATTATTGGAAAGCTTTATATGCAAACTTCCATCCTAGGGCCTCCCAGAGAAGCTTTGCAAATGGCAGACTTTCTCTCTAGCCGCAAGATATCCAACGTAATTGACGGGTACTCCTCTTTATCGCACAACGTCAACGTGGGTGTTCCCCAGTGATCGGCCCTGGCTCGGGCGTTGTTCCTTTTACATCATCAACTGCCTCATTTTCTGTACGATCAATCTAATCCACAGCTTTGCTGATGACAGCACTCTACATGCGGGAATTCAGAGTGAAAAGACAATCTCTGCCAGTGAACTGGAGAAAAGTCTGGTGACAGGAGCTAATGGCAAAGGCTTCAACGCCTCGATCTGCTGCATCGGTTCTATTTATAGCCAGCTATTATTCAATGAAATTGCAAAAAAAATGTTTAAGAGGAATGATGGATATTCAAAAAGTTAATATTGATAGAGAGGTAGGTAAAAGTTCTTTCGATTGGATGTAGAAGAGGCTTCTTATCTATTTTCCTCAAATTTAAGTTTGAGAAACCTTTAAGGTCTATCAAAGGTAAATAGCGAATTTTACTCTCCACATTGAATATCATGGTGGGATGGATAGAGGTTACAGATAGTGTCGAACCAGCGTCACCTTCAACTAACGAGCCATGAACAGTAGATATGGCAACGCAGCTTTGGGGTCTTCCACAGACAGGTGTTTGCCGGGCTTTTCGTTTGTTTATATTCCTAACCTCCGACTTTTTGGTGCAATTTTGTTGTAAATCTCTGGGAACAGTGCAATTCATACAAACCAGAGTAATCTACTTAGTTTTCCTCTTCAAACCGTGCAGAAAGTATTTATTTTAGGTAGTATAAAATCGTGCTTTGATGTGTTTAAAATGTGTGTGAATCGGTGCTTGTTAGAAACGTCTGTATAGTGTGTAGATTCGAGTGGGTACATCTTTTCTTTTAATTAATATGCCTAAGCGTTGCTGTGTACCAGGCTGCAAGGGAAACTACGAGGCAGAATTGAGATCGACACCCTACAGGTCAGTGTTTCGATTTCCAAAAAATGAGGAATTGAAAAGTAAGTGGCCAGCTTCAATACCAAGAAAGGACTGGTCGCCTTCTAAAGATTCTGTTGTTTGTGATGCACATTTTCAACAAGCAGAAATTGTCCCTACGGAAACTTATGTTCTGCAGGATGGATCAGCTAACACAATCACACTGAGTCGTCCAAAACTTTCAGAAGGTGCTGTTCCATCAGTCTTTCCAAATGTGCCATCTTATCTAAGTAAGCGTCAAGTTTCTAGTAGAACAGATCCTGCCATCAGACAAGATAAGATCCTTCAAAGGCTTGAGAATTTGGTTTCAGAATTTCAGGAAAAAGACAAAATTACAGGATTCTCAGATTTATTGGAAAACTATTCTAAAATGATTAAAATCCCTGAACATTGGTTTTTTCCACTGATGCTCTAGAAAAACGGTTTGGTAATTATCGTCTTTTAAGCGGTTGCAATTATAATGTTTCCTGTGATGATGTCATCCATTCTGAGAAGAAGATCAGACTCAAACACATTATTAAATCACCATCACAATCATTTTCATTCACAGAAATCAAGAACAAATTTCAAAATCTATCATGTACACCAGGAAGTAGTGAAAATTTAGATCCTGACAAAAGTTTTGATATATTCTCAGAAATCTTTTGTAGCAATTATTTATCAAATTGTGATTTAGAAGTTGATACTAAGATGTACATTTCTCGTTATGCCTCACATAGTATTTCTAAAAAACTTAATTGTCCCATATGCATTTCACTCATTGTAAAGGAAAAAGGAACAAATTTTGGAAGTGAATATTTTAATTATTTGCAAAAAGGAGGACTGTCTATTCCAACTGAATATGTCAATATTATTTTTTACCACATGTATGCCATTTTCGAATTTATAATAAACATAGATAGACTAGAAAATGAGTTTTTACATAGTACTCAGCAGAAAAATATTTTATGTCATCTAACCTTGCAAAGTATAGAATCAGATCTTGTTTATGAGGAATTTTCTCAAACTTGCTTATGTGGGAATAATTATAGAGATATCCAATTAAACCTCCTATCAATTTTTTCAAATATTGTTTTAAATGATTATGTTAAATTTAAAAATAATACAAAATTAATTGACAAAGCAAACCTTAAACAAAATGTATCTACTTCTCGGGCCAACCGTAATAGTGTAACTGAATCAACAGTCACAAGCTTTGATTTGCAAAAGCGGAGAAAGCTGAGCACCTTCAATGTGTGAATGATATATAAAATGTGCAATATCTTTTTTAATATCCTTTTAGTTATTATTTTGTTACAATTATTTTATTTTCTC